CTATCCCAGCTGGACCCAGGACACATATGATGTCATGCACAGCGTGTAAAGCTGGGAGAAGAATGAGGATGGAGGAGTCATTCAGAGCTATGAAATTTTGTCTTACCAAGTAACCATTACGCGTGATAGAGCCCTTCTCTCCTGGAGATGGCTGAAAACCTGCCTGCCCATGGGAATTGGTGAATGAATTCCTTATTTTGCTTTGCTTGTGCACATGGCTTTTGCTTTACTTAGCTGTAAACTGTCTTTATCTCAACCTACGAATTTTCTCACTTTTCCTATTCTCTATCCCATCCCACCAGGGGCAGTGAGCGAGCGGCTGTGTAGTGCTTATTGCTTGCTGGGGTTAAACCACAACAGTTGTGAATCCTGTTGTTTTCATAGGGTGTAGGGGCGCTGCTAATACAGTCCATGGAAACTGTGATATAACTGAGAGGTGAAATAGTCACTCTTGTCATATTCTAATGGAGTCAGAGCTCATTGTGTGAATTCCATTATTTGTGCCTTCTTCGGTTATTTTTACCCAGCATGTCAAAAGGGTGGATGGAGGGAGTTCCCTGTATGGTCAGCATTTTAAACCATTCCTGTAGCGTCTGCCTGTCACAGAAAATCAATAGCAACAGCATACTACCTGTACAGTCATGTGTAGTATCTGGTACTTACTTTTCAGAACCAAAATCCTACGAGGATTAAGTTGAACTTCATGTTTCTTTGGGGTATTATGGGTGTGGATTGAGTGGAGTCTTGGGGGGAGTTTTCTGCTTGAAGATCAAGTTTTAGAAATGAAAGGGGTTGTCAGAGATGGGAATGCAATAAATACTCTATTGCCACATCTCTGAAGGCTGTGGTTAACACAGTATATCAGAAATAAAATAGCCAGTTTGTGTAGCAATGCCAGAGAAAATACAAGATTTTGTGTATAGCTATGAACACATCTTTATGTCTCTCTGGCTTTTTGTATTTTTTTTTCCCTTGGCAGATCTCATGAAAGTAGCAGCAATCCTGGTGACATTCTTGGCTGCTTGGCACTTGGGATGCTTATCGGTTGCTCTTGTACGCAAAGACACAATAACAAGATCTATTGCTAGTCTTCAAGACATTGGAAAGAAACCAGTTTTGAGAGGTGTGTAGTTGTATTTCTTTTTTTTTTTCTTGTACTATATCTAATGTTGTACATTTACATGCTAAATGACAAATGGCTTGTTAGGTAATAAATTATTTGATATGTGCTATTGTAAGAATTAAGTTGGCTATGTAAAGTTAATTAGTGTAAATATGAACTATTTCTTTGAAGAAACACAATGTCAGCCTATAATTGCCAGTATGCAAATGTAATTAATTGAATAGTAATGTAAGAAAACCTTATTTGTTTGCTGGCATATAAGCACACAGCTGCAGCTGCCACTTTGGTTCTGTCGCATGTATTTTACAGTTATGGTAAACTGTTGAATCACTAATCAAACTTTGTGATTAAATTCTCATTATTTCTTTCCGCTAATCTGACTGGGTGGTTTAATGTGTACATTTTGCTCATTCTATTACTATTTTATTGTGTGAAAAAGGCTTAAAATGAGAATGATAGCCATTAACTTCAACCTATTGGTAGGAATCCATCATCCCTCTAGTCCCTGTTTCCAGGTATATGAAATAGCACAAAATAATTAGTCTAGATTCAAATCAGATCATACTATATGGGGCTTTTTTTCTTAGATAAGCTTGCTCTTGGTCCCAGCAGCTGTTTGAAAGTCAGTGATAACTTAAAGACCAGGCAATTCTGTGATAATGTTGCCATGATACTGGAAAACTGGCAATGATGGCTTCTGCGTATGTGTGTTTGAGCTTAGCATGTTGACATTAAATGATCCTTTGCATGTAGAATTTGTTTATGCAGCATCCAAGAACACGTTTTCTCATCTTTTTTGTGGTAGCCCCAGTCCCAAAAAGGCAGAAGTGTGATCACTGGTCTCCTTGCCCACCTGAGAACTACGCCTATCGGATTCTTAGTGGTGGTGGCAGAGGAAAGCTGGCTAAAATTTGTTTTGAGGATGAACTGTGAGTACCAGTCTAACTTTGAATCTAAATAAGTGCTTTGTAGTGTGAAGAAGGGTGTTTCATTTTGGTTCAGTAGCAGCAAGTAAGCTCCTACTAGGGGTTGCCTACTCTGGTGATAAACTTCAGAATATAACTGGCAGTATTTAACTCCTTTTTTTTTTTCCCCTTTTTTTTCTCTTTTTAATGTGGAATCTCATGTTATTTTCTTTGTTCCTCTACATAAGATGCATTCAACTGTTAGTTTCAAGTATGATTTTCAAGTATGATTTTTAATTTTCATGGTGCAGGATAGCAAGTTTACAGTATGTTGAATAGTCAACACATTCTGAAAGTCAGTTTCTTTCATGGCCTTTCAGACAGGACAGGTAGAGTGACTTCAAAACCTTATAATGACCTTTTGTGTAGATATAGTTCACACAGAATACTGCTACAAAGCCACATTTTGTCTTTTTTTTTTTTTTCTCTACTTTATCTTTCTGGCTGCATTTGAATGAAGTACTTTTTTGATCTGGCCCATTTTGAGTGCATCATTGAAGGAAACTGATTGATATAATGTTCAAGACTTTTAAGCCATAGCTCCTGTTTACTACAAAGTCTTGAATTAAATAACAGAAGAAAACATGAACATCAGAAAGTGACTTAGCATTGGTAAATATAACTCTGGATCAGAGCTTCTGGACAGATACATTCTACTGATACTGTATTTATTTCGATTCCAGGCTTATAAGTGAAGAGAAGGGTAACGTCGGAAGAGGTATAAACATTGCCATTGTGGATTGTAAGTAAGAAGAAAAATCTTAGAGAAAGACATACTTTTGTACTGCAGTAATTTACAGAGGTTCTTGGGAGGGTTGGGTGGCATTTTTGTTTGGCTTTTTTTACTAGCTAGTATGGAAAGAAATGGAAAGGAAAAATTGCAAACTTGATTCATGTTAAATGTAAGAAAAACAAATCTGTGTTTGAGAGAAATATTCTTCGGGACAAATGAAAGAAACATGTTCATAATCAGTTTAAGAAAATAGAAAGTGTGTCCATAGGAGCAGTATATGTGTATTTTATTAGCTAAAAGAACTGCTTCTTATGTAACATAGCAAAAATATCCATGATCTCCAGCAGTAAGACTTGACTTTCAGGTTCAGTCCTTGATAAAAGATAGCTGCAGCTCCACTGATAAAAGAGCAAGCAGTAACTGAGAATTGCAGTTCTGCCCCAAGGTGCAGCCAATGTCTAGATTCCTTTTCCAGATTTGGTCAGTGGACAGAAAGAGAAACACAAAGCTTGATTAATATTATATTAATATAATAATAAAGCTTGATTAATATTAATATTATATGTCTTTGCTTGTAGTGGGAGCTATTGGAAAGCAGAAGGTGCAGTTTATTCTAGATCTGGAGGCACCATTTTAATTTAGATGAATGGGAGTGGTGATGAAGAGCAGTTTATGCAATAACGGATCCTGAGAAAAGTGAATGCCTAGATGTTGTTGTGGAGGGGAAGACAGGGAGTTCAGATGCACAATCAGGTTGGCTTAGGTCACAAAACACTTATGTGAGCTATTGGAAAGCAGAAGGTGCAGTTTATTCTAGATCTGGAGGCACCATTTTAATTTAGATGAATGGGAGTGGTGATGAAGAGCAGTTTATGCAATAACGGATCCTGAGAAAAGTGAATGCCTAGATGTTGTTGTGGAGGGGAAGACAGGGAGTTCAGATGCACAATCAGGTTGGCTTAGGTCACAAAACACTTATGTTGCTCTTTTTTTTTTTTTTCTCAGTATTGCTAAGCAAGATCTTGATGTTGTCTAAACTTGCATGATTTTATTGAAGTCACTGGGTTAAATTAGTATAGACAAGAATCTGTTCCAATTTTTTTTTCCCAGTTACCTACTGCTTTTTTTTTTTCCAATAAGATTCATAACAACTTTACTGGTTATAATAGGTAAATGGTTAAAAATTAGTTTTCAGCACACATCTGTAGAGTAAGAGGGCAAATAGTCATCTTGAATGTATAAGCAAGATTATAGCAAATTGGAATAGGGAACTGGCATTGTCTTTACATCTGACATTAGTGAGGAAAAAGAAGTGATATATCAGATTTTACACATTTTTAAACAGCTGTTACCTTCATTACAAATATAGTCATTTTAGCTACACTTTCATCTCCATCTGCAGGTGAATCTGTCCATCATCTCGAACCAATTTGTAGTGAGACATATTTTCTACATGTCCTCTAATTAGATCAGTCAAGCTCATGACTGTGCTTAATAAGATTCCTATGGCATCACATTTGTATTTTTATTCCATAGTGATAAGTCTTCCTTCTCTGAATGAATATAGTCTTTGTAAGAAGGAAGACAGAACTATTAAGCCCAAGCTAACAACACAGAAGAAAGAATTTTGTGGATTTCTGCTGTCCTCACTACAGCCTTTTCTGTATTTCTGTGGTCTGTGCTCAGAAGCCCAGTTCTAGAATGCTGTTCATCAGCATGATAAACCTACCGTTTTAGAGTCCTATGTTCAGAAGAATTTGCCTTCATGACTTACTGTATATGGATTGAAGATAAGCCAGAAAGGAATCAGGGACTGCTGGATCTTCTCACTAGAAATGAGTTGATGTGCTCTAAATGGAAAAGGCCCTTTCACATAGCAGGGATCCAAGCAGGGTCTTGGATGATAAAAATAAATTAACTCGGTTGGCATGGATTTAGAAATATGAAAAGTATTTACAATTGTACATGTCTTGTTTAAACAAAGACAGCCGTCTAAACAGCAGCATAATTAATGACAAATATTGACCAAAATGTTTTGGAATTACTAATTGTTTGCATGCCCAATCTCTGATATGGTAATGATGATTGTTGAGTTTCTGTCCACTGAAATTCAAACAGTATGAAAGCTTGCACATCTGAAACACTGCACAGAATAGTATTAAGCTCATTCAAATAGTCTTGGGCTTAACCAATTTTCCTATTTATGGTGTGGCCTAATATAGTATATATAGATATAAAAACATGGAAGCACACAGTACACTGAATTCCTTCTTTAAAATAAAAAGTAATAAAAATGCTTTAGTTACATTTGATGATTCAGAGACTACATGAAACAAAATATTCCCCCACATCTTAAGCTTATGTTATTCCATGATCCTTCCAATTTAAAAGTTTAAACAAAACTCAGAAGCTCAACAATACACAAAATTAGAGATGCCTAGCTTTAGCTGAAAATGCTGTATATGCTGACTGAATTTAATAATCTTTGCTCACATTAACACAACTTTATTTTTAATTACAGATAAAACAGGAAAATTTATATCAGCAAGATTTTTTGACATGTGGGAAGGAGGTAGGGAAAAAAGTGCAATAGAGCTTTTGTTAGTGTTTCAACTTTAAGAAAGGACTTAATTTATATAATTAGCCTGCTCTTTTTTTCTCCGTTATTTCAGTTTGGTAGGAATAGCACTTAACCAGGTACCACATCCAGATATTTTACTCAGCAAAGTTCCTTCTCCTGACGTATTTTGTTCTATTTTAGTTGGGAAATCATCATAGGAAATATGCTAGTCTGTCTCTTAATATCTCTTCACGCAGCTAGAATGATCTTTAAGAAAACCTTTTCCAAACTTTGAACAATAACAGTTTCCTTACCTATTAGTAAGGAGAAACAGAATGCTATGAGGCGCTGGAAGCTGATTCTCTGACCACTTAAGAATGCTTGTGACCTTACATGCATGAATAGAAATCACATTGGGACTAATCATGGGGCTACAGTTTTATACACGGTACGTAGATTGTAATGTCTCCAGGGCTCCTGTTACATTTTTTTGTACAGAAAACAAGTGTCTTGTGTATGTTTAGCAACTGCAAAACCAATAAATAGCTTAGGGCTGCAAATCGGCTGCCACTTAATGAAAGTGGGTGTGCAGTGGGATGTGTAACTCAGCTTTGTATTTAGCATGGTAGTAGGAAGCTCACAGCAATGGCTGTTCCTGCTGTTCCATGCTTTGCTTGCATTTATAATATTATGTGAGGTAAACATAAGAAACTGTCTATATACTTAGGCTGGGCATAAATGGCTTTTGTAAAAGTTCAGAAGTATCTTTGTTTACTACTGGGAAATGCAGATCAATCTGTGCTCTCCTGTCCTTCAATGAGAGCTAGCAGCTTTCTGCACCTTTCAGGATTAAGCCCCCTGTCTGTAAACAGAAAAAAAATGCATAATTAAGTCTCATTTCAAATAGACAAGGCCAAAAAGTGAAAAAAAAAAAAAGTTGAAAATGGGTGGAATATGATATGTGTGTAATGAATAATCAGTTGTGTAATTGATTCAACAGACCACTCAGGAGAGATGATGACTTTCATTAAAAACGCATCACAAGGGTCCCTCCTTTTGATGGTCACTCATGATGATGGAAGCACCCGGTAAGCAAGTTATTCATGACAGGTTGAGGAACAGAGCCATAAGTGACTTGAAAATCACTATTACATAATGGTGTAAAGCAATGGTAAATTTCCATCTATAGTCAGGGTTGTTCTCTCATTTCCTGCCTAAAAAGTTTTGATTCCATGTCCATTCGGTGCTTGCCCACATCATGTATGTTAATGTTTCCAAAGATGGATAAGTAGTATTACATTTGCTTAAAAGGACCAGCTGTCCTCACAAAGGGCACTGTTGTTGCTAGTGGGTCACAACCTTCTAGTAAGAAGGTATCCACACCTCCCATTATAAAGTATCTAGTTTGCATTCCTTCTTATATCTTAACCTGATTGTTTAAGTACTTTCAAATCTTAGGGGGTGTTTATTTTAATTCATGATATAGTAATTATAAAGGGAAAGACCTAATCATTTGGTTGGTAAACATTTGATGCCCTTGTCCTTATTTAAGAAGGGTTGAAACGTCAAATAGTATTTTAGAAACATTTTTCTTTCCGCTATGCTGTTGCAAACAAGTTGTATTAACTTCAGGAATGTAAAGAGAAGGAAGAAAAAGCTTTGCTCTGCAAGTTTAAGGGCATGCTACTGAGACAGCTCTCAGGATTTTTTAAACTTCTCATTGTTGCTTCTGCTGACCTACTGATGTAAAGGATGAATCAGCTGTGTTCTTCTTCAGCATTTTTCACGTCCTGAATTCTTAACACTTTTTTTTCACTAAATTTTCCCAGGTTGAACAGTGATGCCAGAAAATTAGTAGAAGAACTGGGAAGTAATGAAATACGGAATATGAAGTTCAGGTCAAGCTGGGCTTTTATAGCTGCCAAAGGCTTCAAGCTGCCAGATAATATTGAAAAAGAAAAGGTCAGATTAATTTTATCTTCACTTTGTATTTCTCTGTATCTCAGGCATAACCTTCAGGTACAGATTTAATGGGTTAGCTGTAATAACTGTAGTCTGTTCAGTAAGCCTCAGTCATACAAAGCAAGTTCTCTAATGTGTCATCATTCTTTGCTTTGGATCTGAGCCATGTACAGTACTGACTTCGACCACACCAGCACTAAATGAGTTGTAGACAAATTTCAGAAGTGACCAGCGATTCTAGAGAGTCTCAGTTTTGAAATGTCCAACCTCACATGCTGTACAGAGAAGTACATTTTCTTTGGGAAGGACAAATTCCAAGGACTTCCTGAAAATAAAGACTTTTTATATAAACATTGGGCTGTCTCAAATTGGCCATGCAAGTACAGCAATCCTTGCATCATAAAACTTTTCCGAATAACTTGCCCTCAGGCTTCAGGAGGACTAAAAATAGCATTTTTATGTCAGATTTCTGTTTGCATCTATGACCTTGTTGTGTTTGCTTTCTGTAAGCTCAGTAGTGCTCATCTGTATGACAGAGAAGCAGACAAAAAAATGTGAAAATCTAATACAGAGGTCAGTTCCCTTGATGATACTTACTCCCTCCAAAGAAAGGCATGTGAAACTTCCATAGGGTTGTTTTGGTTTTTTTTTACCAGAATGTTGTTGCAATCTTCTTCACATTACAGAGCTTCTGCAGGAAAAAGGTATTCAGTTTAGTCTGGGAAATAAATAAAGCACTCTGTGTAAGCGAGAAACTGATGGAATCTTCAACATCGATTCGAATTATGTCGAGCAAGATGTGCACCATGTTACTTAGCTTCCCAGTCCCCCCCCCCACTGCCTCCTTCTGTTGTATGAGGTTTGACAAACTAGTTTGTAAATGGTGAACCACATATTGATTAAATTTTTACTGTATTTTTTTTAACAGATAAACCATTCTGACAAGAACAAGAACAGATATGGTAGCTGGCCAGCTGAAATTCAAATAGAAGGCTGTATCCCAAAAAACCTTATCTGAACAAATGCATACCTCATTAATAAAGATGATTCTATATTTTTATATCTATGACTGTAGTAAGTTGCCTCCAGAACCCAATAATTGAGCACTAATTGTAAAATTAGTCATATGCACAGTTTTTAACCTTTCCTCTGTGAGGTTTTACTCTAACTTGAAAACAAATAGGTATTTTGATGACAAATGGAAATAAAATAATACACTGGCTTGAAATTACAATGTTCAGGAAGTCAGTTATGAAATACTAGGATTTTTAAAGTGAGTATACATTGTAATTAGTAATTTTAGGGTTTTGGGTTTGTTTGGTTGGTTGGTTTTAGTATGTGTTTTCTTTTGCTTCTCTTTAAAGACTAATATACAAATAGAACTTAGTCTAAATTGTAATATAAAATCACTGGCAATAAAGCAAATTATTTTTATGTTCGTCTATTAGTAGCATTGCTTCTCTTCAGAGAAAGTATGGAAACAGTAGTTACATTTGTTGAACTGTTTTTTGTGATGTTGACAACATGGAATAGCAATCTTAACATATAAGGATCAAGTTACTTGAATTATTTTACCAAATGTAAGCTGCAAATCTACATGGTTTGTTTTAATTATTTTTCCTTCTAGTAAGTTTAATTTACTTAAGAAATGTAGCGACTTCTTGCAAGCTTAAGTGTTATTCATGCTAGCTGTAGAATCAAACACGATTGTAAGGAAACTGTAGAAGCCATTTATTCAATTTCCCTTCTTCTGAAGCACATCAAGTATGTCTGGACCTTTCTTAACTGGTGTTTGTCCCCCCTGTTGTTCAGAAACCTCCCATATGGCAGATTCCACAGCTTAAATTGCTTCCTGTAGCATTTCACTGTTATTCTAGTTATTCCCCAAACATACTGAATCAGCCTAAAAGAACCAAGCCAATTACACAGAGAATAACTCATCACCATTTTTTTTTATGCCAGTCTAATATGTATCTAAAGATTGTCCTCATCAGCTCTCTCATCCCTAGACTGAACCCACCTCGTGTATTTCAATCTTTCTTTACATTTTTCTCAACATTAAAACGTTGGTTTAGCAGCAACTTTCTTAATGTGCTGTGCTTCAAGTGGGTCCCAGCACTCTGCAGCTACTTCCAAGTGTCCTGCCCTCTATACTTTGGGCAGGAGAAAATCACAAGTGATGACCTGAGAGGGTGGCTGCCAACAGCCAGGTTCAGTCTGCTCATGCTCTCCCTGTTGCCTGGCTGAAGCCCTCTGAGCAGTGCTTCAAACCTCTACCCTTGTCAGAGCTGCCACTTACCTAGCTGGAGTCACTGCTGTGTTCCCAGCAGCTTTCTGATAACACATCCCCCACCAGTCCCTACAGCTACATCTCCTGCTACCAGTTTGTGAAATCTCCGTATTCAGGGATGCTGCCAAAGAAAGCAGTTAATCAGTTTGACTCAATTTGACTTTGGCAAACTCACAAGGGTTGCTCCTTGTCACCTTGCTACTGATGAGGTGGTTACAAATTGAGTACTTAAATAACCATTTCAATATTTTTCTACATCTAAGTCATTCTTTTGGTTTTTTTGCTTGTTTATCCTACGAGTTGGTATTTTACACATCTAACACTAAATGCATGTGAACTGCTGTAACACATGCTGAACTTGGCCTCAATCTTGAAATGTAGGGATTTGGATGGAAGACCTAAGGCTTGTTAGCATTTGCAGGCTACTTCGCAGTTAAGAAAATTTCTCTGCATCTGCTGTGGTTCCTTACATATGTGTTTTAGCAAGCAAGGAGAGCTACTGTAGGTGTCTATCTTCAGTGTGAGCCTGTGGTGGGATAGAGCTTCTCTGAAGATACTTCAGTGTGTATTCCTTGGGACGTTTGAAGCAGTGAGTTCCAGGTGCCTTGTATGTGCTTCCTGGGGATGTTACAGCATCGCAGTGAAATCAGACTTCTCCAGTGCTTCGGATAAAGTGACCCAACCAACTGTACGTTAGCATTCCTGTCATCCCAGATCTATGCCAAGATTTATAGCTTGTGTATGTTCATTTTCTTAAGTATACAGCTTCATGTCACCAATAATTTATTTAGGCAGTCTTCATGTTATGGGCAGAACATTTATTCCTTTATATTGTAATCATGCTTTGTTACATGCCTGAATTATAAAAATAACATAATTACAGTACTAACGGTTGTCAGTCCTCAGAGTGCCAAGCTCCGAGACAATCCTCAAACTCTGCGCAGTTGGACAGTCATTGCCTTCTGCTCCAGGACACAATTAATCTTACGTCAATTACAATTAAATTTTACATATATTTCTGTGTAGCAGTTACCATAAAGTGTGCAGGTACTCCAAGCACTCCATTCTCTGCAAGTAATCCATTCTTTGCATTCTTTACTTTTAGTCCGTTCTCCACACTCTGTGCAAGTTCTTTACAAACGTCAACCTCTTCACAAAGGTGCATACCCCTAATCTGAATCACAGATGAAACCACCGAGAACCTTTCACAGCGCAAGTCCCTGCAAAATGTTCTTTAACTCCACTGTGTTCTCAGCTTTTCAGAGATGCAGTTGAGTGGTCTAGACAAGAGTGTTAATAATCTCTAGTGCTGAGTAGCTATCCTCAGCTTTGTTTTTCTTTGCTCATGCCACAGTGTTTAAATCTGGTAGGCAGTGGAGCCTCAAGGACTTTGATAACTCTCTGATCTCGAGAAATCACAGTGAAGTGGTCACTTGAGCAAAAAAGGTGCCACTTTTTCAATCACTTCTCAGAATAGAAAAAATCTTGCGGAGAGTTGGTTTGAGTGTGGGATTTTAACTTTCCACACACAACTTGAGCACTTTTAAATGAACTGCCTTCTAAGTAGGAGTGAAATGCTTTTTCATGGAGCTGTAATCCTGAAAAAAATAACCTGAGAAAATGGTAAATAGCTTTGGATTTAAAAATAATCAAAAGACCAGCAAGTTAAACATTTAATTTTATTTGGGGGTGAGGCCTTAGGGTGTAGGATCCCTAATGCAGATCTCCTTCCTGACCTTTTCTGTCACATGCTCTGCACCACAGGCAGAGTTGAGCGGTGGAGGTCGGCCCTGCCGATGGCAGGTGACACTGCCAACCACAAGCAGTGGGTAGGAAGTGATGTGCTGCACTCTCCTGGGCCAGGTAGGTGCTGTGGACTTCACCACACCTTGTGAAATACTTCTGGGTTACTACAGCATGCGGGATCAGCACCATGAAATGAGGTTAGCATCTGCAGAGCAATTAATCCTCTTCTAAATCCTAGCAGGCAAATCCAACAGGAAAACATGAACTTTAGGCAGTAGCATTATTCAGGGCTTGAGTTTGTGTATTTAAAAGCAAGGTGGCAGCAGTGTCTTTCCAGATCCTCTGCATCAGTTTGTAGAAGTACCCAACCTCTTTGTCATTACCTGTCCTGGAGAGACACTGGAAGCCACACACAGGGGTGGAGGTCACCTTGCCTTTCTCTTGTGGCTGGAAGGGAAGCCAGCAGCTTTGCCTCTAACATGCCAGACCTTCCTTTCCTGCACTTTGCCAGTATCAGGATCCCATTTCAAATATCCCCACCAGCACCAGTCGGTGCATACCAGTTGGCATTCCTCACAAGAAGTGTTCAAGTAGGTCCCTCATATCCCCTGACCATTTCAGTAGATGTTTCAGATAGAAGCAATTAGAAAAAGTACCTACTGGTCCAATTTTTCCATCCAGTGTGAACGTGACACAACCAATCCCATAAAGAATGAAGCACCTGGACAGAAGGCCTTTTTTATCTCTGCTTTTCAGAGAACGAAAAGTATTTCAGGGTCTTGACAAGTCTCTTAAAAATCCCTGTATCCCTGGCAGTCCAATTTGATGGCAGCAGTAGGAAATATCAATCAAATAATAGGTAACATTTTCAGTTTCTCAGTGGTAACTGTTTCTTTAGGTTCTTTGTGTAATGTTATCTACCTCAAAGAGGGAAGTTTCCACTATATTTAAAAGAAAAATACAAAAAAGGATAAGTTATTCAGTGAAAGATGCCCCTTTGCAGGCAGGCTGTGCTTAAAGCAAAACTCCCACTGACTGCAATCCACTCAGAAGAGCAAAGAGAAGCTGGTGCTTTTACTTACACGTAGTGCCTGGTGGGAAGTAATATATGAGTGTCGTATCTCTGATCTCTTCTTAGCTGCAAGTGAAATGCTGAGTGATGACTAGAATTCAGGGGATTAAGATGGGTGGTTTTAATAATGTTTGAGTGACAGCAATTCCTCATTTCCTGGGACTTTGAAGTTTTGATTTAACTTCTCTGCTGGGGTTTTTTGTGTTGTTTTTTTTTCTTTCCAGATGAGTTTTTCAGTAACATAGATAGAAAATGTAGATCTCCCCCTTCAAATACAATGTAGATTCTCCACCTTCAAATACAAACTTTAACAGCTCTAACATGACTTTTTCCCTCTTCCAAAGTCAAGAACATAGAGATAGATGCTTTAGACTGGCCCAGTCTCCATTGCAGGTCTCATTTAAAAAGTTTGGGTGTTTTTTTTTAATAGTTATATTTCAGCCCAAAGCAATACATGTTTCAACTTCATACTTCTGATAAGTCTTCTGTACTTATGCTTTATATAGCTGCTTTCTGTCCCCTGGGGATTCCCCACCAGAGTTCTAAGAATGAGACTGAACTTCTACCTTCTTCCCCAGACCATGAAGTCTATGACAACCTGGACTTGGAAAAGAGGAATGAGATCTTGAAGTAAGACTTTCAAATGGTTGTTAGTACTTTGAGGTCACATCTGACTATAAATTCCAGTTTTGCTCCCATCTGGGTTTACTGAATAGCACTGTGATCAGATTTTACTGCCTGCAAGGACTAGAAGTGGAAGAATCAGGCCTTCCGTACTTCCGGATTTTGCAGCCAGAACAGAAAACATCATGTACAGATAGTTTCTGATTTTCCTTCTGATAACTTACGAGACAGAACTGGAGTTCTGCCTTCTGTGAGACTTGTGTCTGTCACAGTGACCCACATCTCT